GCTCTTCCTCCAAAACCACCACCACCACCAAAATCACCCTCAAAACACCAACAACCCTTCCTGCACCCCCCCAATTTATATTCTTTATCACCCGTCATAAACTACCCCATGAGGTTTTAGGGTTTAGGGGCTGTCACGATGACCACCCCCCCACCCCCCACCCCCCATCCCTCAAGCCTGCTTGACGTCAACTTGACTGCAGTGCCCTGCCCGAATTTACTCAAAGTTAAGTTAAAAATCAGTACGAAGAAGGGAATTGAGAAGGGATGAGCGGGGAGGCGGGGCTGCCCGTATGTATCGGGCCGGGCCTGCGGTTCAAGGTGGCCTTGGACTGAGGAATAACTACCAATCATTGTTGGTACAAATTATGTTGTACCTGAGATACTTTTATAATATAAAATTGGTACAAATATGTATAGTTATCATAACATCTTGGTTTCATTATTTCGGTTCTACCGACAATTCAGGTAAATTGATTTTATTTTGTATATGTTTTGTAATAAAAACGGAAAGGGTTGTACTATAGCGATAAAAGCATTATATACAACACATTCTAAGTGAAGTTCAACATCGCTGTTCAGTGTGCTGTAATGCCGCATGCGCGATGGAGAGATCGGTTGTGAGCCATGGTGTAGGAAGGGAATGCAGAGACAGAGGAGGAGATGGTATAGGTCGAATCTTCAAGACTGAGATGAGAGATGGCTGGGAGACCAAATTGTTTCAATGCTAGATGCTTGGGTTGGGTTTGTGGTGAATAGAACGGTCTAATTCTCAGAGCTATGAAGGGTGTGTTTTAGATGTGAAAGCTATGATGATACCGTAATGCTATGAAGTTATGAGAAGTTCTGATAGCTTCATCTCAAAGTTGGGTTGATGAGAGCCTGACATATGTGTGGTGATGTTTGAAGGATGTGGGAAATTCGGTTATGTTTGTCAGCTGCCCACGCGTTACGCTCATGTTGATTCTGCATAGACTCGTTTGCTCTACCATCAACAACTGGAGGCTCTCTCGTATCGACACCTGCGGCATGAAGGCTGTGAAAAAGTACCTGCCGTGGGGGAAGAAGGTCAAACGGAAATCGCAAGAAGGGTCCGACGAGCCCTTGCTGTTCGACGAGCTGGGGCGACTGGATCCCTTCCTGGGCATCAGTGAGAGCGCATCGCACCGATCGTTCTCATCCTCCACTTCCTTTCATGCACACGACGACTTGACCTCGTCTCCCTGGACAGAGCGCCCTTTGGAGACGCACAGTCACCCGGGCCCTTTCCACATCTACGAGGGGTACGGCACTCAGCCTTTGTCCTCCTCGAAGCAGGGTAAGTCGTGCTGGAGAGGTGCGGCAAGCTGAGATGATGATGGCGATCGTTCCAGCCTCCAGCCCTTACTTGGACGAGCAAGCGTCGACGGCTGATACAGAGGTCGAGGGCCCGTACGAGGTGACGACTGTACCGAGGCGCGTATCGCTGTCGTGACGTGGAGTTGGTCTACCAGGGCTCATCGAAGCTTCTGGTGAAGTCTCACGTCGTGGACAAGAGCGACACGATCAGCGGAATCTGCATCAAGTACAACGTGAGCCGTCACAATTCGCTGTGACTTTACCTGAACTGAGAGTTACATCGAGCAGGTCACGGTAGATCGACTTCTCGCGATCAACAAGGTGAAGATTAATATGCTCGTCCTGCTTCTTCTCCCTCTCTCTGAGCTCGCTCTGATCAGGCCACGCGCAACACGCTGTTGATCAGGAAAACGATCAAGATCCCCCTCGTGGAGGGCATGGTAAGCCCAGCCCCACATGATGATCAGCGATTGAGTCACGTGACTTGCTTTTGAACTTGCAGGACTCTATCTGATAAAGTTTCTAGTGCTGTGAAATAAGCTCAAGATGTAGTAACGCTGTGCGCTTCAAACTCCACTTATATGATCCGTACGGTTGCGACGCATGATGCAATATCTCCATGTGACTGACGGTCACCGTAATCCGAGCGCGTGGCTGCTGCTGCTAGTCGAAAACTTGCCATGATTGCCGCCGGCATGGCCGCCCATCATGGCATTTTCACAGTGACAGACCTCACTGGACTCCGACTCCGAGTGCCGCCGTGAGTGGATCGAACGGTGACTGCCCCTGAGGCTGGGCAGCCTGCCACTGATCCCGGAGTCCGATCATGCCATGATCAGACCGGGTGGCAGACCTTCGAGTCTCGGCGGTCGCCACCGGACACCCGGCGGCGGGCCGGGCCGCCCAGTGACTCGGGAGTCGCCGGGCCCGGGGCGGCGGCGGGTCACGGGTGATGCGGCATTATGTGTTTATTACCGTAACGGAAATTCAACGGCCCAACGGCAGCATGTCGGATGAAGCCAGCGTAGAAGGGGTTGAGGTGGGGGCAGAGGAGAGGAAGAGTGAGAGCGAAGCAGCCGATGGTGGAGCTGGGCATGAGCACGAGGCCGGCGAGAGTGGAGAAGCATCCGCTGCTGTGGATGAGGGAGAAAAGGACAATGCAGATGGTGGCGAGGAGTCAGTAATAGAAGCGAGCGTGGAGGGCGGCGGCGATGAGAAAGCTGGAGACGGGCCTACAGAGCTGAGAGAAGCAGGAGGAGAAGCAGGAGGAGAAGCAGGAGGAGAAGCAAGTGTAAGTGAGCATACAGGGGCAGCTACAGGAGAGCCAACGGAGGCAGAGGCAGAGAATGAAAACTCAGGCATTCCTGCGGCTGGAGAGGCCGAGGCAGACGCCGAGGCAGACGCGGCAGGTGGTGACGGGACAGGTGCGGCAGAAGAGCACGATGGAGTGAATGCACCAAATCCAGAAGCCGAGGGAGATGGAGGGGCATCAAAGGGGGCAGTGGAAGGGGACACGGCGACTGCTGACGCTGCTGCAAGAGAAAATTTGATGGACTTGGGTAGCATGGCAGGGGATAACTTCGGCCTCCTGGGCGGAGCCATGGACATAGACAGAAGCAGCATGCTCGGGGAGGTCGCAGCCGAGGGAGTTGCAGACTTTGGGAAGGATGTTCTGGAGGGATCGATGTTTTCTCCTCGCGCTTCCCCGCGTAGCTCCCCTGCTCCAGCGGACAGCTCAGACCAACAGCAGCTGGCAGCGACCAAGATTCAATCTTACCAGCGAGGGATGAGGGACCGAGCGCGAGTGCAGGAGCTAAAGGAGAAGGGCGAACTTCCCGGCCAGCGGCGCCCGAGAGCAGTGAAGCCAACGTTGTTCCGCGAGCCTGTCAAGAGTGAAGGGGAGATCCTGTTTTACGATGGGATAGCAAGTCAGTATGAGGGAGAGTTGCTCAATGGGTAAGAGTTCTTCTTTGTGATGCTCTTTCTCCTCTCCTCCGCTTCCTGTCGCTTTGCTGTCGTTCATGTCCTCTCACTGTCTTCCCCCGTCCCCTTCCACTTGTTTGTTGGTTCCTTCGTATAACGTGTATGATGTTCACAGGCTACCGCACGGCAAAGGGACGTACAAGTTTGCCAATGGGAACCTGTACAAAGGAGAGTTCGAAAATGGACAATTTCACGGGAAGGGAGAGATGCATTATCCAGGCTACGGTATGGTTGTGAACGAGTATTGTTGAGCTTGTTGGGGTGTTGAAGTTTTTTTATCGTGATCGTATTGTGATGATCTTTCGCTATGTTGCCGATGAGAAGGGAGGTGATGATGATTGTGAAAGTCTTCCTTCCGTGCTGGTGTTTACTTTGGATTTCTCGATGAAGATTTGAAACTTACTGTAGAGATTTCTACGCAGGAAAGTTTGTTTCTCAATATGAGAACGGAAGAGCGATAGGAGGAACTTTCCTGTTTGAAGATGGTCTAGAATACAAACCACAGGTCAAGCTGAGGGAAAAGGAGGAGAGAGGAAAGAGGAAGAGGACGGAGGAGTAGAGGGCGAGAGGACGAGGGAAGAGGATAGAGGAGGGAGAGGGGAGTACGACTAATGATTTGCATGGCAGGGATGGAAATATTGTGTCGAAGGAGACAGACGATTTTATCACGAAGTTGTTGATCCAAGATTTGGCCTGATGGATGAATAACAGGTCTCGAGGAAGAGATCGAAAGCAATAAATATGTGCGGCATTGACGACGGCGATTATGGTGCTGCAGCAATGCCACACGAAGTGAATGAAGTTGGTGGAGGAGGAGGATGGTGGGGTGGGGAGGGGAGGGGAGAGGAGGACGAAAGAGAAGAGGGGGAGAGGGCGAAGGAGAGAGAAGGAGAGAGAGGAAGAGGAAGAGGGGGGAGAGGAAGAGGGGGAGAAGGAGGGAGAAGGAGGAGGAGGAGGATCCTCTACGA